ATTGTGGAGAAGCTTTATTACACTGTCTTATTGGCGCATTCAGGCAAGATGGATGTTATTATCATATTTTGGTGAGTTAAATGTAGGCAACTCAGGAATAGTATACAAAACTTTTACATGCAAAACTCTCATACTGGAGAAACTCTTGGTAGCCGAGACACTCACTCAAAAAGAAACTATAACTCAACCAAGTAAAGTCTATAGAGTTTCCTTTAAACTAAAGTAGGAGGACTTACTTACAGCTTACTCTTCACTTCCACAGCTAGTCTACCTCATCACCTCATAAGCAGAAGGTACATCATGCAATGGATGCCCCTTTTGATTTCTTTCCATAATCTTCCTTGCTAGAGGAACTTGCTTGCCAACAGCAAAAACAAAAGCCTTTCCCTTGCCTCCGGCACCTCGAGCTGTTCGTCCAACACGACGTACATATTCACTTGGATCACGTGGAAAGTCAAAGAGCACTACATGATCTACCCCTGCAAAGTCCATTCCTCTGGATGCTCTGCAAATATGGCCAAGAAAAAAAGAAAAAAAAAAGCCCAAATTTGTTAAATTTGACATCAATCCTGAAGTGTTCCACAACATGTTTTATAAACAATTAAACATAAACATATACATTGAGCAATAAATCTTATATTCAGTACAGAAGACTTACAAGAAAGTATTATATTTTTATACCTATCTGTGCAAACTAAGAACATGGAAATATTCCCAGTCGGAAAGCTACGAAATTTTTCTAGATTTGCAAGCCTCGATTCCTGTTCCAAAGCAGCATGAAATGGTAAAACCTTTATATTAATTTCTTTTCGATCGAGGCGCTTTAATGCATTTTCAACTTTTCTGCATGTTTCGATCTGCACGAAAAAAACCAAAACTATTTCAGAACAAAATTTCGAAGAGAAATGCTGTATAAGAGATATGTAGAGAATAATACCTTGTTACAGAACACAATGCTCTTTGTCACAGGACTTTCCTTCACAAGACGGAGAAGAGCACTTCTTTTGTTGAGAAAAGCTGTATCGGGGGTCTTTTCAGTTTCTTCGTCTCCACTGCAATCTATAAGAACCTGGAAATCTGGAGTAATCAGAAAATGAAAATTCTACTGAATTATTCCTCAAAACAGATAAATTTCTAGCATCTGCAGCAGGCTGTAAATTAACAGCCTTTACTATTTACTGAACCAAATAAGCCTCACATCTATATGGCAACAGTGTGGACACAGATATATTTGGGAAAAAGAAAGAATGAAATGTGGGCACAGATTCCAGAGAACACGGTCTATCTGGTGCTGCAACATTGGCAGATATTGATGTAGAATATTGTAATGCATTCCACAAACTGCCTGATACCATATAAGACACAAATATTTATTATTTAGCAAAGAAAAGTCGTGCAAAAAAAAAGCCCTTTCTACCATAAGGAATGTTCAGTTGAGAAGCAGATGTGGGATTTATATAGTCATTTTAGAACAGTATAAACAACCCGAGAGATCAATGTCATATCCATTGGGCGTGCTTGTATACTAATATATCCGCTCAAAATGAGTTTTTTAGGTTAACTAGAGTTAATTTTGAAAATGTTGGTAGGTCAGTTGTTAATGGGATTTTAAGGTTACATTAAAATAATGTTTAAAATAAAATAATTAAAGTTGATAGGATGTAAAAGTAGGAGAGAGATGATGTGAAGTGATGGTTAGTTAAAATTATGTGAGTGGATGAATAGTGAATTAAAATTGATATGATGCATAAGAATGATTGTTTCGTATTATTTAATTATATTAATAATATTAAAGATAGTGGAGTTGGGTTAAAGTGAAGTTAAATTTTGAGTATGAATTGGATAAATTTATAAACAAACACACCCTTAGAGGAAAATGGAGAAATATTGTTTGTTCATTAACTATGATGTTAGCCGTAGCAACAATTTTATCAATAAAAATTTTAAAATAAAACAAACTATTATTACATATTTCTTTATGAATTTATTGATCATCACCCACATATATGTATCAATCATTATTTCACCATTTTCACATTATGAGAATAATAAAACATTCCCCCAATATTTTTTCCCTACACAGAATTTTTGTGAAAGAAAACATATCTAAATAGCACCAAAATATTTTTTAAAGATGAACGAAGATTTTTGAGATAGTAAAATGATATGAGATAAAAATGTTATAATATGAGTTTAATTAGTACAAAAATAGTGAAGTAATGTTTGGATAGCATTGGTAGTTAGGATTAGCGAGCGGATGAATAGTAAATCATGGGAATCTCATGGTGTAAAAAAAAATGAATCAAAGAGATTTTGTAGGTGAAAGGATTAAGAAGAGAAAAGAAAAATGAGTGGATGATTAGTATAAGTTTTAATAGTCTTCTTCTCTAGATATCTCATTTAGAGAAGGAAATCCAAAATGAATACATTTGCAATCGCACTTTGTCAGATAGATTAGGTAAGACGGCTTAAAAAATGCATAGGCTGAATAGTTCCGTTGTCCAGTGTTATTAATGGCGGATGGCAGTACATGGCGGTTTGCCGAAAATCCGCTATAACTGCCATCCTTCACAAACTTAGAATGGTGGATTGTCAAAAAATCTGCCACTCCATACTGCCATAGCCGCTATTTGATAACACTAGTTGTTCATCTTCTATCATAACACAAAAAACAAAGTAAGTATGGTTCATATCTAAATACCTCCTCCAATCTTGGGCTTGTGCGGTGCATACCAGGACCCATAATAATCTCACAATCAGGAAAAACTTCAACTAGCTTGTTGTATATCTCGACGGGTAATGTGGCTGTTACAAATAAATACTGCACTATGACTGGTGCTGAATTGATCAAACTTTGCAACGCAAGTTCAAAATCATCATCTTTGTAGAGTATATCCACCTCATCCAGAACAGCGCTGAAGCAAGAGAATTTCACATTAATCTAGCACGTCAAAAGATATTCTGTTCAGAAGAAGTGTACAGAAAGTAAATAATAATAATAACTTGATGAAGATAGATCTTTCGCCTTTCCATGAATGCAACAATAATTTGTTGAAACAATTTATTCAGATTTGAGGTCCCTAAGAAGGCAAGGGACATTGGCCAAATTACCATATTCAATCAAGCCAAACAGTCATACTACCAAATTTCCGACCTTGATCTCCTTCACGACCTAGACCGTGTTAGACAATATAATGTAACTTTATAATGAAAAGAGAAGGAAAGAAATAAAGAAAATTGCATATATTGGACTTGTCTCTGTGGCTACATGGCTGAATCATGCTGAAAGAATCAAAATATTCATGAATGAAGAATTTATGCAGATTGGTTTGCACCCATTTTAACTGATCTGTATATAATCTAAAAAAACAATGACATTTGACAATATCTACAAAATGGTTGACTAGTTTGAGTTATTTGTAAAGCAAGTATGAGGAATATAAAATCTGATAAGGGAAACTGTTCTATTCTCTATCGCAAGAGAATAGATCTAAAAACATCAGGGCTTTGGAAACAACAGAAAAGTTAATAACAAGTGAGAGAGATGAAACTAGAATGCCCGTGGTGCATAGGCCCCGTGGAATGGTTGTCCCAATTTCAAAATGTTCAGAAGGAGATGCTTTCTGATAAGAAATTTCATAACAAATAGATTGAAAGTATTATCTATGACAAACTATCTATATATCTGCAGAATCAAAATCAATTTTCAGTTCAAGGTGCTAAGGTATATACATATAATATTGTGGCCAAAGAAACAGATAAAGGTGTGACTCCTTTCCTCTTGTACTATTAAGACAAGTTGCATTTCAGAGACTGATGCTTAGATCCGAACGAAATTGACTCAAACTCAACTTCCAGCTATCGCCTTTTCCAACTCATCAATAATATCTCATAAGACTCCAATTGAATGCAACATTCTTAATCAACATGTAACTGTATTGAATTATAAATTAATCCAATATGAACAACTAACGCACAGTTTTTTCAACTTGGGCACTTTTGATGTAATAGAATAAGCAAGGTCTAAATACCCCGCATAGTTTGATAGCGTAATCAGATACATTGATACAAGGATGGAAGTTTACGAAATTTGGCTAATTCAGTGCTCCAGAACCAAACTTATACCGAGAAACAACTAAATCCAATATTATGAAAGAGACAGCAAAACCTATAAATAACCCACACAAGCCACCAATACAGTAACAGTCTAATGGAAAGCCCGAACCTTTTGAGATTTGTCAACTGAACGAAGCCCTCATTAACTAGAAACATGAATCGACCAGGAGTTGCAATCAGAACATCTATTTCATGTTTAAGATTCTCCAGCTGAGTTTTCTGCCGAAAACCACCAGTAGCAACCATAGAGCGGAAAGGGACTCCAGCTTTAGAGAAAGATCGGCAAATACTCAAAACCTGATAATTATTTTTTGGATGAGTTAAAAAATGCAATAGAAGGTACTGGGAATGCAACAGAGGATACTAAAACATGCAAATGGGCAATATATAGTTATTAAAAGCACAAAAGCTCCATATTGTGATAAGACATGAGATCTTCTGTTGTAAGTTTCGAAGAAAATACCATCACAAAATAATATGTGAATATACAATTGTGCTATTCTTTTCATATATTTCAGTTTTCCTGTCTTTGTGTAATTACATTTGCAAATATGTTTTAGAAAGTTGCTTACATGATGATCCATGTCGAAAGAACCAATTAATTGAGCAAAATATCATATTTAGAATCCATTCCTATGATAGAGAGTATATATCAGTCATCCTAAATTCCTAACAATACAGGAATCCACAATCTTCAGGATCAAGTATTGAATTTCACTAGTGAAAATTACCTGATACATACAAAATCAAGGAAAATGAATCATGTTCGACACATGGATATTGCAATCACCATTATTTCTACTAAAAAAATTTGGAAAGTTAACAGAGACATTGAGCCGCCACTGACACTAACACAATATAGAACAGTGATTTTTTGTGCATTTGACATATTATCAGACCTGAGAGGCCAACTCGGCAGTTGGGACCAGAATTACAACTCGAGGATTTTGAGATGCAGGTTTGCTAAGTCCTTCAGTTTCTTCTTGTCTAAGGCGTTGTACAAGTGGAACTAGATAAGCCAAAGTTTTACCAGATCCACTCTGATCAGCCATAATACAACTTTTTCCACTAATAACTGGGGCAAATGCCATAGCCTGCATTAATGTAACCACATTTAACAAAAAAACTTTTGAGTCTCTTCCATAATGAGAGGCAAAAAAACATAAATTCAACATTTTTCACTAAGGAAACTGAAAATGCATGAAAAGAAAGTGACCAACTGGAGTGTGCTAATATTGCACCTGTTTTATTACAATTTTGATAAATTATTACAAAATGAAGAGCATGTCAAATTTAAAATTACACATTCAGTTCCCTAAATCTTAATTTATTATTATACAATGAAAGCACTTCTTACTTTGAAGCACTTGAATGAAACAAAATTGAATACCTAAGTTTTCCATACATAATCCTACTACAAGGGAAAACATAGGAGGTTTTTAATTTGTGTAACGATACAGTGGATCATATGCTAGAGTAGTAGGAAATAGCCAGTTCCAAGATCTGTATGTAATGAAGCAAGTTACTCGGAAACAATACTACATTTATTTATCAGATAACTTAGGCCCTTTAGGTACCAAATATTAATTGCATATGCAAATGTATTCTCTTGAGTGAATACAAACATTCTTTCAAGAAGCTGGACACAACTTCGTATGCCATACCAAGGCGCTCACTGTGGATATAAAAGTAGTGATTGCAAGAGGATCAACAATTGAAAGAAGACAACCTGAATGTGTGAAGGGCGCTCATATTGCAGGCTCTTTAAAGCCTCAATAATGTAATTGTTGCACCCCAACTCCTTAAACAATTTTCTGCTAAAGAAGTCATTGTTGGATTTCAACATCTTCCCTTTCTTAGAGGCATTGGCCTCATTAGGTCTATAGCTTCTGTCTGGTCTTACATTTCCCCATCTGCTTGAGGATGGAGCAGAAGATACTGCAGAATAAGCAGCTTGTCGGGAGGATTTAATATAAGGATATACATATTCTGTAGAATCATTCTGGACATTGGTATTCATCTGCTCATCCAACTCATCAGGCTCATCGTATGATTTGTCTGACAAATGTGATGTAGAAGTTTCTGCTTCCAGCTGGTTATCTTCAAGGTCATTGTTCTGCGTAATTTTCCGGTAGCTTTCTTTAACAAGATTTTGTACTTTTTTGAGTTTTAGCCTCGTGAAACTCCTCTTAGTTGCCCCGCCACCAGCTGGACCACCAAAAGAATACATTGAGCACGTTGGAAACAGGCTTATACGAGCTTCAACTTAATTTTTTTTGCTTTAACTTATTTTTTTGCTGGAGCTCTTCTTCAAAAAGCCTCGATCTATGTTGCCCAACGTGATGTAAATTATTTTCAAACAAAAGAAAAAGGTTAAATCAAATGCATGTAGAAACTTGTTTTAAGAAAACTTCATATATAGAGAAAATTACAGTACAAACTCCACGAGCTACTTATGAATTATGCTAAAATTAGCTTATAAGTTAATAAAATTGAACTCTGAAGTTCGAAACTTCGAAGGTGTTTCAAGATAAATGATACCATCAAAATCGTGACCATACGAAACATCAATAGTGTTTATTAAGTTTATCCCCGCTGAAAAAGTACGCAAGCCCTTGATAATGGTGAGCAATTTTCGATGCGAATTTAATAAGATAAGAATAACCTTTAGTTGGTGATATTTGTGGAACGGCCTCGCAGACGAACTGCGCGCGGCGGCCGCCGGAGAGTATGGAAACTGGTGAGCTGTGAATAGTGAGAAGTTCCAGCACACTCGCCATGGCAAGACCGGAGAGCTTCAATATTGATGTGTATAATTCTATCTAATATTAGAACTGATAATCTGTGTTAAACTTAAACAAGCCGGCCCCATATGATTTTAAGTTTTTTATTTTCATTTTACTTTTTATCAAGAACGAACTTTTAATTGTATAGCATAGTATTAAAAATATTTATTTAATTAAACATAATTTTTTTATGATTTTTATTTTTCATTGTTTCTATCAGTTTTCATTAATCAAATCTTTGTTTGATAGGTAAAGAAAATTTCTTAAGCATGTAAATGTGTTCATAAGTTTATCAATAGAATTTTCTTTTTATTATTATTAATTTTTATAGAATAGGAAAATAGAATTTTATTATCCTTAGAAATACTTAAAAATAATAGTTTCAAATGCAAAATTATTATTTGATTAACAACAATGATATCATTTTTGAACTTTTGTAGTATAAAATTTTAACGTATTATATATGTAAAACATAGATTTTTGTGTTTATCTTTTTGTTATAAAGTTTTGTTATGCGAATAAATTTATCTTTATGAAGATAGACTATTAAGTTCAATGTCTTTCGGCCCAAATGATTTAAATTAACCCATACTTGGTTAAATTTGTGATCCTTTTTCTTGATTGATGTTATTATTAATCTTTACTCTTTAGTTTATCCCGTTCACTGATTTATTATTTTTCCTTATTGTGTCGCTTTCCATTTTCCTTTTTAAAAGATAGAAGGAATTTTTTTTTTTAAAATCCTTTAGAACGTTTCATGCGCATTTCAAAATAGGATGATTCTATTATTTTTTTATTATTATTATTTTATTTTTTTAACAGCCTCATATTTTTATTTGCTTCTCTACAAATATTTTCAGACATAATGGCATCATATTTTAACTATAAATTTCTTGGATTATTTGGGCATGAGTAAACTAATATTTTAGCAAAAAACCTTTGAAGTTCATATGGCATTTTAAACTGTGCAGCCTCTTCTAAACATAAATACTGACTATTATCATCCTATTATAATCCTCTAATAAGTGCATACTCACAAAATGTTTTTGCTTGTTTAGCGTTATAAAATTTTAAATGATGAAAAGATTTTGGATATCGAACTTCTAATAAAAGCAATATAAGATAATAATGCTCTCCTTTTTAAATGATGGAAAGATTTTGAATATCGAACTTCTAATAAAAGCAATATTGGATAATAATGCTCTCTTTCGGCAGGATATGCTGAGATAATTCTGCTCACATATGTTGAAAAGAAACCAGCAGCCACAATTATTGAAAATGGAGCAGCCACAATTAATGGCAACCAAAATGCATGTGAAGGTATTTAATTCTAGCTGCTGAATGTGTGAAGACTTTTAATTCTGGCTGCTGAACGTGAGCAGCTTGATGCATTCCTCAGCTATAAATAGAGGAACAAAGGTGCAGAGAAAAATACTCCAAAGTTTAAGAAAATGAAAGAGAGTGAACAAGAAAAAGAGTTTAAATTTTGGGTGCATTGTGAGTGAGTTTGAGAGTTATTGTTGAAAAGAAATTCCCATCTATGATGGGTGAAATACACTTTCCTTTGCGAGGATTAATAAGGGTAGCTCCTTCCGTACTAACAAGGGAAATCGGTCAAATTCCATTGCACAAAGAAAGACTTTCTTGGTCCTTTCTTCCCAGAAATCTGCCGGCTGGGGAGAAAAGAAGGAGTCTGGGTCTGGTTACCGACTTCTTTCTCTTGGAATGAAGAAAGTTTTCTTTCCGGGCCAGCAAATGAGGGGCAATAGGTCAGTCGAGTCCTATGAGTGGTGGGGCGTCTCCCCGGTGCTACATCACTCCTTCGTCTCGTATGAGTGGATTTTGCATAAAGTCCTAAAAGTGACAAACTTTCTCTTTGTGGTATTCCGCCCCTTATTTGTTTTTGGTCAAAAGATTAAATTCTTAATGAAAGCTGGTTATATTTACGGATTTTCGTAATACTAGTTTTGGCTACAGTAGGATTAACTGCGTTTTATATGTTTCGGATCTATTTACTTATTTTTGAAGGGCATTTAAACGCTCATTTATTAGGAATTTGCCCGATATCCTTTTTTTTATCATTTCCAAAAAAAATGGATAAACTGGGTGTAGATGGATTTTAGCAGGTCAATTACATCGAGCCTTTCGTCATACTAAGAAAATGACAGTCCCATCTTACTAGAAGATCTTCTCTTAAGCTATCGAATAAGCCCTTCTATAGGTTGCCTTTTTAACGCTCGACCAAACAAACCATCCACTCCTTCTAGTCGAGTGCCTTGCGGCGCCTTGAAAAACAGAATAGAAGAAAGGTTAACAGAAAGTCTCACAAAGAAGAAGACACACGCAAAGACATCTTGTATCCGCCCTTGAAGAAGGCAGCCGGCCAGGTTTCCTCGTTCCGCCGAGCCAATCAATCAATAACTCACTTCCCCCGCAATGCAATTCCAAACAGTTTTCTTAGATAGCAAGCACTAGCTCCCGGTGAGACTTCATAAAAAGCAATCAAAGATAAAATAGAAGCAGCCACCAGTATTGAAAATGGAGCAGCCACAATTAATGACAACCAAAATGCATGTGAAGGCATTTAATTCTGGCTGCTGAACGTGAGCAGCTTGATGCATTCCTCAGCTATAAGTAGAGGAACAAAGGTGCAGAGAAAAATACACCAAAGTTTAAGAAAAAGAAAAAGAGTTTAGATTTTGGGTGTATTGGTATGTCCAATTTTTCGTTTTTATTTCACTTTTATAGATTTAACTTCATGGAAAATTCAACGTATTTTTTCCAACAACATATTCTTGGCGTTCTCATCTTTTCTATTGTTTTTAATTTACAAGCCACACAAAAATGTTGAGAAAATTCACCACACGAGAGAATAAATTTTTGGGCACTATTAATTCTATTGATGTAAAAGTTTTCTGTTAACGTTGTTCGATTATTTGCAGGATTTCAAACAACATTTCTAAGCTTGTCCTTTTTTTAAGAGTTGATTCTGATAATTTTCTAAGTGGAGCTGAAGATGAATAATATTCTGCCTTATTTTGCCCATATATAATCTATTTATTCTCCAAACAGCTTCAAGAAACCCACCTAACGGCTGTATACTGCTCAATTTTGCCCATATATAATCTATTTATTCTCCAAACAGCTTCAAGAATGGTGTATACTGCTCAATTTCATCAGTTGGGGCATTTGGTTTATGTGAGCTAACATGAAAATTGATCATATCATAACCTTTACATATGTATTTATATATATACATCACTGCATGTATAGTTGAAGAGACCTCAACATTAATATGACAATTTTGCAACTAAATATGGATTAAATAGCACAACACCTCTAAAGCTTTCAAACAAAGAAAGACTAGAATACTCTCAATGGACACTGGCTTACTCCACCAAGGGAGACTAACAACACAAAATAAAAAACAAACCCACTTCAAGCAACCCTCACACCTGACAACCGCCCGCCAAACTCCTTATTTTTTTTCTCAGTTTTTTGGTTGCTTGAGAAATTTGACGAGTTTGCCAAATAATGCCAATACCAAATCAATTTTTCGGTTACAAAAAAATTCAATTCGACTCGATAAATCGTGTTTTGGTTCAGTTACCAAACTTGGTTCGGTGCAGCCGTGCAGGTATCACTTTTTTCATGAATTAAAATGCGATAAATTACACATGTAATGATAAATGATAAATAAATAATATAAAGACAGCAGAATTACTGCAGAGTCCAAATGGATTTTGATGGTATGTTAATTTTACACAAAGATATGAGGACATACAACTACTGAGAACCGAGAACCCCTGTAAGAATATCAATACGATTTTGAAGGTCTCTCCACAAATGCGCAACTTATTTTAGGTGAAGTGAATCTTGAGGATGAGGATGTGAAGAGTGATAACAAACTGACGGTTACCAGAAAGTTGTAGCTCTATGTAGAAGATGCTGCACGATCTGATTCTATCATGGATTTAATATAGAACTCACCAGCCTTGTACGAGGACCTAACCATGGGACCAGATGCCACATAGCGGAAACCCTGAAACAACCAAAAAAGAAAAATTCAATTATTTGTCATTCATAGCTTCTAATGCCAGGGCTTCGAATATATATTTTATATAACGCCGTAAAACATGTAAATAATTTTGTTTTTCCAAGATGACAGCTTCAAAAAATTGAAAATATAATAATCTTTCAACAAGTTCAACATAACCACACACGTGAGAAAAGTTAATAATAATAATCAAACACATGATAACCATTTAACAGACTTTAAACCAAAAGCGATGATAAAAAATAAAAAAATAATAAAAAAAATAAACGAATGAAACATAAATTGTAAAGTCTGAAATTAAAACTAGTTAGTCCAAAAAATAGTCAACCTGTAACCTAGTGAGCAGTCATTATTGAGCTGCATAAATAAGTTAATATAATTGTTAGATCGATTATTATTTCGAATGAATCACATTTGTTGTATATAAGTAAAAGTTTCAGACGAAGAAACTTGGTCTTATCCTTCTATTTACCATCCATCCATACCGTAAAGGAATAAGAA